GCTACGTATTACGGTATAAAGCAATGTGAACGTGTGTAATAAAGCCACTACTCCTCCAGTGGACGTCAAGCCAGGGAAAGGGGTGGGCTGGGGTATATAATGCGCCCGAAGCTGGAAAAATCAATATCAAAAACGTGGAAGCTAAATACGTACCCTGTTGTATTTCAGAAAGAAATGGTGTTGTAGGAGGTTCTAAAAGGGTCAATCAATTTAGAAAAGGATGATCAGAGTGAAGAGATCCTGTCGATGGTAAGCTCTATTTGTTCATGGTATGATGCACGCTACAGTGTGCACCAGCAACTTGTCAAACTATAACACTATATGTACCTCAAAGGCAGCGCACACGTTCATTTGATGTTCCCGCGCCCTCTCTGGATATCATAGCCCTCCCTATGAGGATGCAGTATGTACTAGTTTTGCATCTCAAAAAGGCGAGAGGATAGCGCCGTTCGCTAGTGAAGAGTCGGCCGCCCCGCCCACCTGGCCAGCATAGGGTTCTATGTAGGGTATTTCCCACGATTTTTTTTCGATGTTCCTCCACGGCATCCTCTTCACAAGCGAGTGGCCCCATCCTCTCGTACTTTTGAGCTGCGAAATTAGTACATCCTCCACCCTTGTCGACAAAGCTACGATATCTAAGGAGGGCGTAGGAACATCAAATGAACGCGGGCGCTGCTTTAAGGGCAGACTGTATGCCTACCTCCGAGGGCGGTCCTTTCCATGTGAAATGTTAACGGGGCCGTAGCAGCAGTGGTGCAGTGCACCATGTTCCCCCTGAAACGGGCTAGTGAGTAACGATACCCAGATGCCATCTTCCGACAACGTCCGTGTTACCTTCAAAGTGCAGCACTTTCGTGGATTGTAAGCCGCGCCGTTACAGGCGCGGCGCCTGATGTTTTGCCATGACTCATCTTTCTTTCCAGGGCGTGGCGATGCATCGCAGGAGAAGCTCGGGGAGTCGACCGCTTGCCGAGGCCGAGACTGCAGCTTGGACCTCTCTCCATCTCTGAGGCGACGCCTCGTCCTACCGGGAATACCTGCATCATCCTGCTCATGATCTCACTTACCTTCTGTTGTATCTCATTGCTTGTTGTTCCGTTGTTTGTTGCCATTGTACTACTTATGTGCCAGTTATGCTTATTGTGTGCCTATTGGTTACTTGCCGTTACTTTGTGCCTTTCATGTTATTAGGATAAACTTTAGTAAATGAGCTGTGTAAGGACAGGTGCAGCGTTGAGCCACTTCCACGGCGCCCGCTCGCTTACTGGATAACAAAGTCCGCAGCGAACAGGCAGTCAGTGGTAAACAACAACAATATGAAAAGGGCACAGACAAGTAGTCCAGCTGGCTACTGTATGGGTGTGACTGCAGCAGCGCGGGCGGAGTCATATCATGACACGGAGGAATCAGTACCTTTCAGCCCGTCTCCATGTACTTTTGGGCGAACTGAAAGTGGCACGCTGTTACAGCTGCGGACTCATTTACCCCGCACATGGCGAGGACCAGGACCCACGGAAGTGAGTGTACGCTCTTTCTTCTAACAAGTGCAATGAAAGCACGTACGTCAATTTTTGCGTCGCCTGGGAACCCGTCGGTGGCTTCATTGACGTATATTCGGAAAGTGACAGACGAGGGTGTCTCACGCACAACTTCCCATTCTTTCTGAAATTCCAATTATTTTGCGATCGATCTTCATGAGACAAAAGAAAAACAATACAACAGGGGTCAAGCGCGTTTTGAAGAATCTGAGCAATTTTCTGCACATCCCTGTTAGCTTTTATCATCATATTCACCTAGCGACTACTGAGAACACGACACATCTTTGTTTGGAGATAACAACAAGTGAGAGTCGTCTTTTGCCACTGGGAGGGGAGGAAGTCGTGAACGCAAGGGTCGGTGAGCACTGAAGATTGATTAAACGGAGCATAGTGGAAATTTGAACCTCATCGTGAGACTCTATGGACACACCTCACTCCGCGGGCAAACATTCTGGAGGAGTTTCACCATGCTACCACCCCTGCGTGAGAGTCATAAGCGTGGCGCAGTAGAGAAGGAGAAGGTGCAGAAGGATCAATCAACACCGAATGAACCATTATTTCTTTACCATTTGCTGAGTATAATGGGGAATGCCAGGCGGTATGGGTTTGGCAAAAAGTGATGAAAAATGGGTTGGGCTAGTCCATGGACAATCCCTTTGAACGCGTCGATCTTCTGTTTTTCTCTGCACTCTCTCGTCCGCATGGCACTCTGTGGTTGTTGTGACTTCGCACATTCCAGCTTTTCACGGATTATAAGTGGTTCACCCACACCGGAGTCCTCCTCCAACTGAAAAAGCCCGTTTCCTGGCTCGGTACATGATTCTTTCACATTTCGATGGTTCTGTGTGCATTTCTTGGTTTCGCGGACCATACAAAAGTTCAGGATGTGAAGTGACCGGTTTGGCTACGCGCCAAACCCAACCCGCCGCACACGCCCCATCTGCTGAAGCGAAGAAATTATTTTGACGAAAGAATGTGTTCTTGAAGCATACTCAAGTGTTTAAACAAACTGAAAGTGTTCTGTTTTCAGAGCAGTGGCTTTTCTGTGTGGCTCGGAATATTCCATAACAATTACACAACGGGAAACTTTTGCCCAGTAAGCCTACGGAGAAGATTAAGGGACTCTTGGGAAGGAGAAGCTCTGGAGCTGTTTTGCTTCCGTAAGTAGTCACTTATGAAACAAGTTATAGCTTTCAAGAGCGGAAAATTCTCATTGTGACACACGGTATCAACAACTATCCCGCTGAAGATGTTTTGACCGGAGAATATTTGATTCAGCCCCCTCTTCAAAACTACTCTCCTTCTGAACGCTATCCCGCATTGAGGTATGGACGTTCAAATGAAGGGGATTTGCGCAATCTCTCGCCTAATTCGCCGGATTCGGCGAAACAGCGCGCTTTTGTGCACTAATGGCTCAGAAGTACGCCAGAGCGTAGCCCCCCCCTGCTAGGGCTGACGGGTGGAGAGTCCGTACTCACCCGTGGGGATGGGGGCTTACTGATGCTGCTGTTTATCACATTGCGATGGTGGATATGACAAGGTAGTCTAGGCGATTACAGTGTGCCACTTTCAACGCACTAATTCCCCCTACCAATAGGTGACCAGGTGGGGAAGTAGTACTATGTCAAAAAATCACAATTACGACCTCTCATGAGAAATGCAGTGCCTAATTATCTGCTGCCAGCATTCAAGGTATGCTTGACAAAGTGATATTCACTCAAGTCTTGTTTTCTGGATGGAGACCTAGTTTTCAATCATTCCTCGCTCCAAATGATTAAAGAATTATTTTGCAAATCGTTACCAAAGCGATCCCTTGAGGTCCGCCATGCAAAGTATGAGGACAGTTGTTTATAGGAAGCTGATACTCTTGGCCATCGAATATGAACCGTCCGAATGCAACCCGGTTACAGACACGGCCGATTGTCCTACCCATGTAGGCAGTATCCGCTTCAAACCCTATAAAACAGAAGTGTATGCTCAGACACTTTTTTCCGATGCCTTTAAGATTGCTGGTTGTGTCGCTTATAGGCAAACTTTGCCATTTTCAGAAAAAAGACACATTTCGCAACTGTAGATCGCGAGTAACGAGGTTCAAATGTGGATTCTTCGGCATTAAGGGAATTATATTGCAGAAAAGAAGCGACGACGTTGTCAGGAATACCTTAAATAAGGTCCAGTTAATTTTCCTGCATGGCTCTAGCTAATGTTCACCATTTCGGGCCATACCTACACTTTTCAGCTTTTTCAGGCTCATCTTTGTCGGTGTTCTAGGTTCCGATCATCTCAAAAACACATTCCGCATTTGAATAAGACTATGACTTCTCATGTGCAAGATGATCCGGAAGGCGATTCTGGGGGCTCTTCTTCAAAAAGTGAAATTTGGCAAAAACTCCGCTGGAAGCTGACCAATTGGGCCCATGAGCACCTTAGGCCCATGCCGACCCTAAATGGCTGCTAGCTAGTAGCCCCACTACGCTATTTCGCTCCATTCCGAATGGTGAGATTGTGGTGATAAGATAAAAGAGCTGATATCGTAATGATAACAACGAGGAAATTCGTACAAACGCGTCTTCTCTTCAATGCATGCACGTACATTTAGGGTATTCCGGAC